TCAAAGAACTTCAAACAGATGAATATTCATGAAACCGCAGAGTTAGAGGAGCAATATCAACAGTATTTGGTAGATCGAAGTGTGCAACAAGTGAAAAAATACTATCTCGATAGCAAACATGAAGTAATATTGCTTTTGCATAATCAAAATTGTTTAATATTAAACTTGCATTACTTATTGCAGATCGATTTTGGAAACATGATTCTGAAAAAGAATAGAGAGCGTGAACTACATCGCACCTTTTATCCGGGCGTTTGGTTTAAAATGAATACATCACCGTATCAAATGCAACTGCATGCAAAAATCAATAAAATTCAAATTGACAATCAATTAAATGATTATATCTTCCCTGTTGTGCTCGCGCCGATACCCCCGCCTAAGAGTGTTGCCACAACGACGGTGCTGAAGCCGTTCATAGAAATCAGCGTGGTGCAATGGGTGGTGCCCAACTCCACGGTCAAGCAATACAAATATGCTACTATGCTCATACAGGAATTCCATTTCAAAGTGGATTTAATGTTTCTTACAGCACTCGCGGACATGTTCGCTGCGAAAGTAAGTGATGAACAAGCGGCTAAACTCTTCAATGTAAATGTGGAATCGATTGAAAAGCCACTATCTGATCTCGTAGAGACGCATTCTGCGCAAGAACAAAAGAATTTCTATGATAATTTGCATTTGGGACCAATTAAAATACACGTCAGTTTCTCTATGGCTGGTTCGGACACCACAGCTTTGCCGGGTATTCTATCTACGCTGGTGCAAGGCGTTGGAGTTACGCTGACCGATGTTAATGATGTCGTTTTTCGGTTGGCTTTCTTCGAGCGTGAGTACCAGTTCTTTACGCAGCAGCAATTAACTTCTGAGATCACGGCACATTATACGGGTCAAGCGCTTAAACAGTTGTACGTGCTTGTCTTGGGCTTGGATGTACTTGGCAATCCGTATGGCTTGGTTGTAGGTCTAAAGAAAGGCGTTGAAGATTTGTTCTATGAACCATTCCAGGTAAATTTTGCACTGTGAATGCTGCATGTAAATTAGTTACTAAAGTTGACTAATATTATAGGGTGCTATACAAGGGCCTGGCGAATTTGCTCAAGGTCTAGCGCTCGGCGTCAAATCACTATTCGGTCACACAGTAGGGGGAGCAGCTGGCGCCGTATCGAAGTAAGTAGAATGGTTAAACAAATTTGTTCTTTAGATAATATGTATTAAAATATTTTAGAATTACTGGTGCAATGGGTAAAGGGCTGGCTGCACTGACATTCGATGAGGAGTATCAGAAAAAGAGACGTCTGCACATGAATAAGAAACCACAAACTTTCTCCGAGGGTATAGCACGCAGCGGCAAAAGTCTGGTTATGGTGAGTTCTAGCTAGAGTATTTCAGTATTTTATTTCATTTTGATTATTTTTGTTTTTCACATTTTTGTAGGGCTTTGTAGACGGCGTTTCGGGCGTGGTAACCAAACCAGTGGCTGGTGCACGGGAAGAGGGCGTAGAAGGCTTCTTCAAGGGTGTTGGCAAAGGCATGATTGGTTTTGTGGCACAACCCACAGCTGGTGTAGTTGATTTTGCAAGCGGCAGTTTTGGCGCGGTGCGCCGCGCGGCTGAAGGACAAAATGAAGTGTCGCGTTTGCGTGCGCCACGCTACGTACACCAGGATAATGTGATACGACCCTATTGTCGAGCCGAAGCCGAAGGCAATCGTGTATTTAAGTAAGGGCAATGTTGAAATTTAAAGGGAACTTGACATTTTGACAAAATTACTTGCAGGGAAATCGAAAAAGGCAAATATGCTGGCACCGATGTTTTTATACACTGCGAAGAAGTGGTGCCAAAACACGAGTTCCTGGTCGTCTCGAACCATCGCGTCATACATGCAACCAAAAATGATCTTTTCGGGACGTATTCGGTGAGTAAAATATTTAGTTAATATCGCTATACACTTATTTTGGCGAAAGGGGTACGCATGCTTTTTAATATTAAAAATGAATCTAGTTTATCCTGTGTTTCTTATTCTATTTCCTTTAAACCCAAAGGTACAATGGAAATACCGATATGAAAACATTGACGCGTTTACACCGACTGATAAAGGACTTGAAATCAGACTGAAGAAGCAAAACAAAAAAGTCATGGGCATGTTTTCAACTAACGAAGTGGTCCGCAAACAAATCTTCATCAAAGATCCAAAGCGCCGCGATCGCTTGATTGAAATTTTGGAATCTCAGCACAAGAAATTGTAATAATTTCTCCATTTAATATGCCTTTGCTACAGTCATAAAGTCTAATCGAAGCTATCAAATATAAATGGCGACTGCCTGCAGAAGCAAATTCAAGCGCTGACAAGCTGAAAACGCAACATTTGAAGAAACCAAACGATTTACACAAGCACATCGATCGATTGCGTACCAATAAATTTTCTTAAAATATTAATAAAAACTGAATTACGAGAATGATATTTTTAATACTGCAACTAATCATGTTGCTTGCTAAAATCAAGCGCTATGTACTTTTAATCTCTAACTGTAAGCTTTTTTATTGAATTTTTATTTATAATTTATTTTGTTATATTCCTTAACTGTCAATATGTAGTTACATACAGGCATATGCACTTCCATGCAGACGAATATACTATGTATTCATAAAAATGTTCCAATATTCAACCTAATCTGTATTGCTTTACATCGCGAGACTACCTCGTAACTGCTACAAAAAACAATGAAACTAATTTTTTTTCTTGGGCCACCTTTCTTATGGTTCTTTTTATACTAAATAAATATTTAAAATATGTATATGTATATAGTCTACATATATTCATACAAATACATTCACTAAAATAGCTAGCCGATCATCATTTAATTTTGTTATAAAATTTAAAAATAAAAGTTATTAATGTTGTAGTTACATATTGACGTTTCCTATATATTGACGTTATCATTGCTAGCAAGTGTATCGAAAATCAATGCAGATATATCAAAAAATTGCTTAAACACCATGGTCCGATTTTTAATGTAAAATCAAGATTCCTGTGAAAATTGTACATTTCCTTAACAAATTCACTGTTTTTTGACGGGTTTTTGAAGTTATTTTAAAAATTGTGGGACTTTAAAACCGTTTTTTTTTTTGCTGCGATAGTTGAATACACAAAATAATAGAAACAATAAATTCACAACAAAAAGAATATTTAATGTTAAACGATTTTTACACACATATTTACAAGCATAAAAATGTTATCTGAAATAAATGTGCGGAAAAATAAAATGATCTGTTATTGATTTTTATGTTCTCTAATTTGAGTTGTACTGCAACCTTTTGCCATTAAGCTAAAATAGGTATTAAACTTAAAATTTAATAATTAAATAAGTAAGAATAAAAATTCGTGTGAAACGAATGTTGTTTATTCCGTGCACGTATCTCTGTGATTCATCTCTTTCGGAGTTCGAAAGAGTAGCAAATTTGGTTTTGGGACTAAGCAGTTCGGCTCCGTGCCAGCTTCAGTTTAATTTTTCGTTCCCAATCCAAATTCACAAAAATTATCAATTTCACTAATTGTATCCAGCTGCTGTATTGCAACCAAAAATGCATTGCAAATAATATAAACTAGTACAATAGAAAACGCCATTCTAGAAGGCATACAGGGAATCACTTCCTCAGACCTTCTTGGGTAAACCTTCAGCTATCTTCACCTGCTATTCGTTTGTGACACAGCCAGCCAGACTAACCCAACCTAATTTTCGCTCATATGAGCGGCAGCCAAAAGTTTTTTTCGTGTGACTTAATTTCAGATACTTATGTACATATGTAGGTGGAGAATCCCTCAACTCTAAATCATTTTAGAAGAATCCACAAACCTTGTACCGTCCGAAAAAAAGAACCTTTCCTTACATTTTAATACTAACGAAAATTGTTTATTCCAAAGAACAATTCTTTAATTGAAATAATGAATACTCTTATTGTCCACGCACTTCAAAATTTAGCAAGAGTGCAACTCTAAAGCATTATTGAATTTATAAAATTAATATTAGAAATAAATTGAGTGTCTGATGCACCATGCACCCATCCAGTGATGTCTTCAATCTACACTCCGCTATTTGCGCAAGTCACCAGCTAAATTTTCTTCAAAAAGCTGCTTGGTGGTGTTGTCACAGTCATGATGGGCTCATAGTTATTGCAGTCATTGTCGCAGAAGGAACTAAGTGAGGCTACAGCACTACCCGCCAACGTTTCCATGGTGAGCATGCCCATGTGCGCACTTGTCTCGAACTCTTTAATTATCAGATCAACTTTGCTCTTCATCGAGCTATCCACCATACCGGCAGTGCCGCCAGAGGATGAGTTCTTTAGTATTGGTGAAGCGGGGTTGCTGCTGGTGTTATGTAGAGCATCACTGCCTCCAACACCATCCACCGTGTCATGCAATTCGAGGCTCTGCAGTAGATTCTCTTTTTCGCTTTGTTTGCATTTGGCTGGCGAAGAAGATGTGGAGTTGGATGAACTGGTGCTGCGACCCGAAGAGGTGGTTTTATTCAGCCGATTGAAAAACCAACTTTTCACCGCTGCTCGCTCGCTAGCACATGTGTTGTTACTGGTATTGTTTTGATTGTTAATGACACTGTTGCTACCCTTCTGCGGACTGACATTCGGCGTGGTCGATTTGCGTTGTTTCTTGTGTTCTTTAGCCGCTGCAGCAGAAGCGGGCGTAAGCGCTACAGCTTCTACATCGCTGGCACTGCTACCGGAGTATGTCTTTTTAGCGACCTTTTTTAGACGCTCCGGCGTCGTGCCCGCCGATAACTGACTAGACAACTTACTATGCACATCCTTGACAATGGACTGGAATTCAATTTTCTCGGCGCTCAGCACGCTCTTCTCACCTAAATTCAATAGCTCAACAGTTTCCGATTCAGTGTGGCTAATATCAGCTGATTTAATGGGCTGTGGTGGACACTTTGGCACATCGTACTCAAAGCAGTTGACCATATCAAGCGCAGATAAGGTGTCCTTCTTTACTGGCAAATTTGGCGGTTTGTTGGGTGACTTTTCTGTTTGGAAGAGCGGAGAAGGTTCCTCGTAAATGCAATCGTGAGCTGGCGCGGCGCTCATATGGCCCATGAATGTTATTTTCTTAACAATGGGCGGTGTTGGCAGTTTCCGAACGTTCTTCATTACATTGGCTGGTGCTGCATCCCCACGTATAGCCGTCTCCACGGCGATTATCCACTCTTTGGCATCCACCTCGCTATTCGCCTGAAAGAGGAATTTCTTGTTGGGATCGGCGGTGGTGATCTGGAAACAAACTTCACGACGCTTGCCCTCACCATAATGCTCGATTTCGATGCCGCTGTGCTTTAGATACAAGGTAATGCTCGGATGTGCTGCGGTGGGGCCATCTGCATAGCAGAGAAGCCAATCGTTCAACACACCACAGTAATACTTTTTGCATTGATCGAAAAATAAACGCTTCTCGATGCGTTGCAGCTGACCATATTTGGTGGCGCGCTCGATGGAAAGGTGGCCCGCAGGCAAATCCATATAAGGGCAATCAATCGCTTGCATGGGTTCCAATTCGGGCGTTATTGCCTTCTGCATCTCGTCCTTGTCATGGCTGGATACCTGACAAATATCATAATTTTGAGAGCCGTTGTCATCTTCGTTGCCTTCACTGTCATCGTCATCATCTTCATCGAAATCATCATCACTGTATGCCTGGCTGTTGGTTTGGTTGCCAAGACGTACTGAGCACCGGAAAGTCTTATCGCTCTTCGTTTCATTATTCCAGTGATCATACCAGCTGGAGGCTGAAATGTACAAGCGAAATAAAAAAAAAATAAAAATAAATTTTAATTGGAAACTATTTTACTTTAATTAACTCATGAGTCATTACAATCATATGTATGTATATATATGACCATATGCTGGCATTGTGGGCAGAGGTCAAGCGTTTACTTACATTTCTTGCCACAAGTTTTGCCTCCTCCGCTCATATCCAAGTACGAAGCGTCTTCGTGCTGTTGTTCTGTCTGCTTGGAGGCGTTCTTTGTTGAATTATTGCTTTGACTGTCCGCTGTATTTGTCCTCGTTTGCATTGGCAGGCCATTGACCCCATTAACTCCATTGACTCCTTCATTGACTTCATTTGACTTCATTTTCCCATTGACAATGCGCTCATTGTTATTAAGTGTTGTTGTACTTGCATCATCCTTGGAATAGTTCGCCAACAGCAGTTCACAGCGTAGTAAAAGATTTAGCGTTGACTCCGCCTCAGTCGCATGAAACATATTCGATGTATTTTCGTATTCGGATGTCTCCAGCGAAGATCGGAAATGCTCACGCACATCTGAAAATGTAAGATGTAGATGTGTCGGTGTATTAGTATAGAACTAAATTAAGTTCAGTCAGCAGTTCAATATTTCGTAGAGAAACTAACGAACCGAACGAGCTTAGTGGAATAACGCAATTGATACACCTGTACCTAAACTAGGGATAAGCCCCAACTCTATTAAGAAAATTAGTTTTTCCAAACACGCTACTCTTTTACAGAATCTGTTAACGACAAGCTACTTAACGTGTAAACTAACTCGGGTATAAACAATTAGTTGTCGCTGTGAACTTTCCTCTTATTTCCATCTCTGAGATCTCTGTGAGGTTTTGAATGGTTTGGCATGTGTATAATCTTCTTCTTTTTAAAACCGGACTATGGCATAAAAGCAACTGAAATTTTTCTTTGTCTATGTTCTTGCAATTATGGCAATGTTCCGCTGTAACCACCCCCTAGTCTCATGGCGCGTAAGCTAATTAGCAGGGAACGGATTTCATTATCACCTTACGTCGAGCGCACATTTAGTATATTCAAGGCTTTTCTTCGCGAAAATCGAATGAAAATGCTGCCAGAAAACTTCAAAATGCATNTGAGTTAGAAACTCGAAAGGATAAAATAGTCGAAGATTCAAAGTAAAAATTTTTCATATAATGAAACTAGTTCATGGTTTTTCTCTTTTTACTTGTAATATAAGCATTTCTAAAATAAATATATTTTTTGATTGTTCTTCGTATTTTCTGTCTTTTTTAGTGCCTGATTTTGCTTTTTTGGCAATACCTAGTGCCTTTTCCTGCCTTTTTCGCTATTTTTTTTTTGCCTTTTTTTGCCTTTTTTGCAATGCCTAGTGTCTTTTCCTGCCTTTTTCGCTATTTTATTTTGCCTTTTCCAGCCTATTTCGTTATTTTATTTTGCCTTTTTTATAGGTTTTTAGGTCTTAAAAATCCGTTCCCTGCTAATTAGACACCGATGTGTTTTTCCTTTTACGGAAAGGCCACATAATTCCGGTGGTTCCACAACACCAAAGGTTGTTCCAGCGTTCATTAGCTATAAGAGCAGTGTGATTCTTAGTAAATTATTTAAAGTTGGTATAATACAGTTAGGGGCTTTGCATTTTTAAGTTTAAAGCTTTCAGAACTAACGGACTGTCAGGAAGATAAGGGCTCGACTTTTCTGGCAGAAAGTCAAGAAAAGAGTGTGAAAGTATGGGGTGCAAAAACTAATGATTCAAAGAGAGATATACAAAAGGTATAAAAAAAAAAAATGTGAAGCACACACACGCATATATATTTATCAACGAACTGTTCTTTAGGAATCAACTGCAATTCAAAGATTTAATTGAGCCAACAAGTTAAAGCAACGTAAGGTATAGAAAATTAAACCGAGGTAAGCAGAAGGTAAATCGCATAAACAAACAAGCCAAAAAC